ACTACTTAATTACGTTTGTAACTCTCTCTTTTTGGATTTTTATTTATTTATTTATTTATAACTTTTTCATAATTGTTTCAATTTGATCCGGAAATTAAGTACTCATTAGTCATTACGATTACAGTCACTCAAGTTGAATAACGGCTTCAATTATATGACCCACTTGGTGTGGATGACGGATGACGTTCTTGTCCTGTGATTATGATGTTTGTTATTGTCCTAATATAATATAAACTGTGTTTGGGACTGATTTCTATATTTCCTTACTAACGGTTAAGGTGGTGATGGCGGTGGTGGTGAGTCGTTTATTTAATTTATCACGTTCTAAGACTAAGAAAGTGTCATTATTTTGAAGAGTCTTAAATATTTAGAAAACATGTATAGAACCTAACCTTATTTTTATATTTAATTTGTCAAAATATTATGGGTTTTACATGATTTCTTTAATATTTTCAGTTTCATATCATGTAAAAAAACCCCCATCAATTAGTCACTTGTTATTTTCTAATTGGTTTTTAGTGTGTTTTAATTTTTTCAGTTAAAAGTACATCATGAAATTTTTTCTAAAGTATTATACTTTAAATATTTTTTTATATTTTTTTTTATAAAATGTCATGGCCGAATTCACCTATTTGCAAAAACTATTGTTTCTTTACCTTTTACACAATTGGTTGATTGAATTTGAAAATATAGATTTTCCCACTTAGACAAATATACATTGATCAGTGTTTTTTTTTTTCACTTTATTTTTTGCACTAACTTGATCAAATGATGACACTTGTAATACAAAATTAAGGGATATGCACTGTTGGGATTTTGGTGGACCACAAAAGAGTTGGTGAACACTAAACAGGCAACATTAAAAGACTAATTTGTAGCCCAAATTTGTAAATAAGAGAAGTACATATAAAATTAAATAAAAAGTGTATTACGACGCTCAATTATTAGCCAAACTACTTAAGTACTTGATCATAAACCTGCATTCAATATTTGATTATTCCCATCCCCATTCACCACCGCCTAAAGTTAGCTAAAAAATATTTTATATATATGTATAGTTATTCTCTCATTCGGATATCTGCACGTTATTACTGTGCGAATGTTATCATAAATAAGAAAAAAAATAAGAAGGAATAGTAGAAAATACATGGCGTCTGCAAGATAATAACATTCAAATAATATTATTGTAATTAATACGTCGATCCCCAAAAGTTATGGTCAATTTCCATAACATAATGCAAAAGTTATGTGGGATATAACATGTCATCATATGTAAGCTGTTTTAAAAAAAAATTTAAAAATATTAATTAGAAAATATTAAGCATCTCTTTCAAGAGATTGGCCATTTGCAGAACATACAGTATTGTAATGCTAGTGGTTGTTGCTTTCATTTTCGACTGAAGTTCAAAATTTTCAACTATCTCAGGCTAGCAAGAGCCCCGCAGCTATTAGCCATACCTATATAACTTTTTAAAACAAAACACTATTTCAGTGCTGGATCTTAATCAGATTGTTGACTAAGCTATAAGCTGCTTACTGCTTAATTAATCCATCGTGCGTAATTGTTATATGCGTATACTCTAGTGCTCTATGAGTTAACCCTAATTATTAATGGTTTAGTTTCACTAACTCTTTTTTTTAGGACCTTTTATATTAAGAGGAGGGATAGTATACTAAACTCACACACATTACACGGATACTATGACTTAAACTCAAGACCTTACATGAATAAGTAAATATTCATAACCACTACATTAGTGAGTCCTTTATACCCAATTATTAATTTTAGTTGTTTATAATAGCTTTCTACCTTATTATCCTAGCTATTGATATCTTTTGAAGTTGAAAGCCTATACTACAAACAAAATGACCCTTCACTTATATTGCATTGGGCAGATTCAACTGTACAATTAACTATTATTGAATTGGTCCAGCTGCTCACTACGCAATTCGTGTTGGCGAGTCCTTACTATGTTAGGATTTTAGTTACTTACTATTTATTTAGTCATATTATAATTGAGATTTATTTCATATTATAATTGAGATTTATTTTCTATCGTAATTTGGATTTATTTTCTATTTTATTTAGGGTTAACACGTCTTTGTACTTGTATAAATATCTCCATATTGGAGAAGAATAAAAATATGAGTGTATCTGAGCATAACTAAATATTTGTCATACTTTGTTTGACTATTCGAACCCCCCAAACCCTATATTTAGGCAACAAATTTGATTTTGATTATTTATAGACTCACACTTAACAATTATGGTTTTTTTTTAACACCTTCAAATTCCATGAACTAAACGTATTAATTATGATGATTTGCTTATGTGATGCAGTAGCTAAACTACCAAAGATTCACAATTGTTTCGAATACAAAGAAGGGGAAGCTAACGTCATTAAGAATTAAGATTGATTAAAAAAAAGTGAATCAGTTATATAACTTTCCTCTCACAATATGTATGTAAAAATCACATATAAATTCATAATACTAAATGTAATGGATATGTATAAATTACGTATATAGTAATTATTGCTATTGCGAAGTAGAATCAGGAGAATAAGTAAAATAAATCTTGATTAGGTGGTGAGAAACGAGAATTTGAGAACCTTGGTTAAACTCAATTGAAGGTGTGAAAAGTGGATGGAGAAAAAGAAATGATAAAGGAGGATATGCATCAGCCGTGGGTCTAGTCCAAATGAGAAAGATAAGCTAAGCAATGGATTGCTTTGATTTCTTGTCTAATCAACCCAACTAGTGACGGCGGACTAGGACCTCTAATCTTTGTCCATTTCGCTTTTACATCATTAATTGATAATCTTAATTAGAGAGCCAGAAAGAAAAATAAAAATTAAAAGTATAAAGGGTTCTTTCACAGCCTTTCCCATCTACAACACCACCTCAAATCCACGTCTCCATTGCCGAGTGATCATCACTAAAAACAACTCATTTGGTTGACCTCTACTTATTATCACACCTTAATTCGGAGAAAAACTTTTCTACCACTTGTTTGTGTTTTTAAACGTGACAGGAGATATAAAAATACAATTATATATGACCGGATACACCTAAAACCTTCCCGATTCACTTGCTTTGACGCCAGCAAAGACTTCTGATCACAACACCGAAATTCCGTACTTCCCAAATGAACCTAAAATAGTGAATTGAATGGCTATTTTCCAATAAAAATACATTTCAACATAATGAATCCATTGACTTGCACCACCAACACATGTCTCAGATTCTGAAAAAGAAATTTTGGTTCTCACTTTTTTGAATCTTTGATTATATATATATATATATATATATTGCATTTGAATGAAACGTAACATAAGAAATCATGTTAATGTGGTAGACATCTCCACCAGCACCACCATGGCACCACCAAATTCCGAAAGCCCACCGTGGACGTTGCTTTCACTGGGTTTGTTGCCCGTTGGTTTGTTTGTTCCACGTCAAAGTTTCGTGCACCGTTGCTTTTCTCAGTTGTTGCATTTTGGTTGGTCCAAGATTGTCCACGTGGGGCCACACTGTACCCACTTTTCCTCATTAGTCATTGACAAAGAGGGCCCATGTAGTCTTAGAGTGGGCCCACCGACCGCCCAAAAAGAACGGACCCCAATCTGCCTGCGAGTCTCTCCCTCCCTTCCCACTTTGCCCCATTAAAAAAAGCCCACTCCAAATTTTCACCTTTCTACGCTCTTTCTTCCTTTTTTTCCCCTTATCTCCACCCTTTTTTATCTAAAAATCACCTCTTCCATCCCCACCCCTGGGCCTTGACTCACTTTTTATCTCTTGACTATACTTCTCTTTTTGATCTAGATTCATGCCTTACAAAATTGTTTTGTTTTTACATTAAAGAAGGAGATGAATTCGAATTTGGGTTTGGGTTTCTTACTCATTCCACCTCATTCGATATTTAAAATACACATAATTAATTCGATACTAGTTGTTGATTTATCGAATGAAAAATAGTAGTACTACATTAATTAAATTTGAATACTAAAGTTTGATAATGATATGATGCGGTGCTTTCTTGCATAAGAGAATGCTAACGTCAGTTATAAGTGGGTACCTGAAGTAGTTTCAACCATTGATGATTGTAGATCATTATAGACCATGGCGTGACTCAGATCAGCATAACTCTTTTTACCTAGTCCGAATCGAGAACCACTACAAAACTTCACTTAGTTTTTTTTTTTTAATTTCAAAAACTTGATTTAGTTCTAATATGAAGGGTTTTGTTTTGTTTTGTTTTTTTTTTTTTGTCTGTTTTGTCGATTTCTAATAGGAAAGGTAGTAGAGACACATCATGTAATACTTAAATCCAAAAAGTAATTATGGCTAATAAATCTATTCTAAACTCACCTCACCTCACCATTCGTTGTTGTTGGATTCACATTTTTACCTTTTGACTCAGGTCCAAAGACTAAACTACAGTAATTGCATGTCGTACGAGGCGCCAACTGCATACACGCATCGCGCATAAGAGATGAAGCAGACAGGTAACGCAGTCCGTTTCTGTTTTTGTGTAAGTCAGAGAAACGAGCGGCCAGGATTTGCTCACCTTTTCCCCAAAAGATCAGATCCCATGACGTCACTCGCAGACGGTGACATGGACGCGCCGTTTAAAATCGAGAGTCTCGGGGTCCCACATGGCCCGAACACAGCGGGAGGAAAATAAAAAAGACCTACACACGTGGACGTTCGTGACACGGTGTTGTCATATTTGAGTAGGCCGGGCCCACTCTCATATGGGCGCCACGTCACTGAGGGAGAAAAAAGAAAAAAAAAGGAAAGAGAGAGCGCAGAAAAGAGGGCCTAGGTTTTTTTAGTAGGGGTGGTTACCTCTACTCTCATGATTTCTTAATTTTTCATTTATTTATTTTTTCAAAATTAGGAATGCCTTGCTTTTTTAATCTTTTTGCGAAATGAGAAAGTGGGTCCCACACCGTTGCTGATTTTGGATGGACTTTAATCAGCTCCAGCAGCGAGCGAGCGCCTTGGGTTTGGTTTTTGGTCCTTCTTCTGGGGTTCAAGTACTTCGAAAGTTTTTAGCTTCAGCTGCTCTGCTTGCTTTCTCCTTCTTAAAATCCTATTTATTTAAATAATAAACCAAAGCTCTGCTCAATACAAACGTCTACTCTCTCTCTCTCTCTCTCTCTCTAGCTCAGCAAACCAAGTTGTGATCCCGTTCCCGTTGTTTCTGGACCTCCAGTTGTGTATGTACCACTCTCTCTCTCTCTCTCTCTCTCTCTCTCTCTCTCTCACAATATATAAAGTCTCAGTCTTTCACTCTGGAACTCACTTGGCTGCTATGTTCTGATTGTGGGTTTGTGTTGTTGTAATGTGAGTGCAGCGGTTTCCGGTTGGATTTGGCCGGAGAATGGCATATATGTGCGCAGACAGTGGCAATCTAATGGCGATTGCTCAGCAAGTCATCAAGCAAAAGCAGCAGCAGGAGCAGCAACAACAGCAGCACCACCACCACCAACAGCAGCCGCTCGGCGCTTTCTCTCTCACTCCCTGGCCCAACAACACTCACAGCCCCAATTTGGGCTACGGGTTAACCGGCTCGGGGTATACCGACCCGTTTCAGCTTTCCGGAAGCTCTGACGCCGGCGGGGAGCCTGGGTTTCCGTTTCCCAACTTGGATCACCACCCCACTGGGTTCCGGTATTCTGATTTAGGCGGCGGTGGCGCGGCCGAGTTCGACTCGGACGAGTGGATGGATAGTATCATAGGCGGTGGGGATTCAACGGATAGTTCTAATCTGCCCTCTGCTTGCGACACGTGGCATGGCAGCAATGCTGATTTCGGTCTCTACGGTGCCGATCCATTCCAACCCCCCTGCCCGAGTCGACTCAGCAACCCCTGCTCCCCACCGTCCGATCTCAACCGAGTCATCTTCTCTGAAACTCAGAACCAGTTGCCAGCCTGGACCGCCCCTCCTCCGCCGCCACCAGCACCACATGTTGTAGTCAAACAGGCCAAATCAGCAGACCCTCCTCCGCAGCCAAACGACGCCGTCGGGGTCTCGTCAAGGTCGCCGGAGATCGAGTCAGCGCCACCGCTACTGAAGGCCCTACTCGACTGCGCCCGGCTAGCCGAGTCCGACCCGGACCGCGCCGTCAAATCACTGATTCGACTCAGAGAATCGGTCTCAGACCGCGGAGATCCAACTGAAAGGGTTGGTTTTTACTTCACCGAAGCGTTGCAGAGCAGAGTATCGTCCCTGCAATCGGAGAAAAGCTTGGCGGCCACCACGACCTACGACACTGCTTGCGAAGACTTCACTCTCTCTTACAAGGCCCTCAACGACGCTTGCCCCTATTCCAAGTTTGCCCATTTGACTGCGAACCAGGCCATTCTCGAAGCGATGGAGAGAGCGACGAAGATCCACATAGTCGACTTCGGAATCGTCCAAGGGGTCCAATGGGCCGCTCTGTTGCAGGCCTTGGCGACCAGGTCAACCGGAAAGCCCAGCAGAATTCGGATCTCCGGCATACCGGCTCCGTCTCTGGGGACATCTCCGGCGGCCTCGCTTTTCGCTACTGGAAATCGACTGCGCGATTTTGCCAAGCTTCTGGAATTGAACTTCGAGTTCGAACCGATTCTCACTCCGGTTCATGAGCTCGACGAGTCGTGCTTCCGGGTAGAACAGGACGAGGCCTTGGCTGTGAACTTGATGCTCCAATTGTACAACCTACTTGACGAGACTCCAACGGCGGTTCAATCGGCTCTGAAACTAGCTAAATCGCTGAACCCGAAGATTGTGACTTTGGGCGAGTACGAAGCGAACTTGAGCCGGGTTGGGTTCACGAGCCGGTTCAAGAACGCGTTGAAGTACTACACCGCGCTGTTTGAGTCGCTGGAGCCGAACATGACCCGAGACTCGCCGGAGAGGCTTAAAGTGGAGAAGCTTTTACTGGGTCGTCGAATTGGCGGCGTGGTTGGGCCGGAGCAACCGGGAACCAAGAGAGAACGGTTCGAAGACAAAGAGCAATGGAAGTATTTGATGGAAAGCTCCGGTTTTGAGCCGGTAGCTCTTAGCCATTACGCAGTGAGCCAGGCCAAGATCCTGCTTTGGAACTACAACAATTCTTTGTATTCTCTAATTGAATCTCCACCTGGGTTTCTCTCTTTGGCTTGGAACGAAGTTCCTCTGTTCACTGTTTCATCATGGCGTTAATGGGTTTTGCTTCAATTTGGGAATTGGGTTTTTCACCAGGTCTTTTAATACTGGGTGGAAGCCTATTAGTTTCAGTACGCCATTGACAGTGGTCTTAGTTCAGTGCTTCTTCTTCTTCTTCATGATCAGAAATGGAACTCAGAGACTGCCCTAGTGAACTTACAGTTAGTATTTATTTTACTTCAGCATATAAAATCACCTCCACCACCATCACTCTTTTGAGCTTTTTGGGTCACAAATTGCTTGTTAATTTTTGTAGTTTCTTCCTAGTTTTTTATCATTCTCCAACGTTATCATGGTCTTCTCTGGTTTTTTTGTTTTTTTTGGTTGGGGTTTTTCTTACAGGTTTGAGACTCTGAAATATGACTAATTGTAAAAAAAAAAAAAGGGCATTGAAAATCAAGGGGTAACAAGGTTCTGTCCCCTTTGTTGTCTGTAGTTTCTGTTTGTAAATTTGAATCTTCATATTGAATTTAGTTTCTATTTCTTCAGTTCAGCTTCATTCTTTTGTCCAACAGAGATTACTACCGTCAGAAATGGTTAATTGGTGATCTCATTTTTTATTTTTACATTAAAGCTTGCACTTTTCGAGTATTCTGGCTTTATGGCTGCAAGTTTGGTTTACCTCACAGGGGTTGTGGCTCTGCAATTTATTTCCATGCCTATCCCATCAGGCAGGCATCAGATTTTTGTGACCTGCAGCAGCAGTAGCAGTGTGTAATAGATTTCTGACAGTTTTAATTGCCTCATTATCCACCAGGTTGTGTCTCTGAAGACCGTAATTAGGTTTGATGAAGACCCATTACCTGCGCATGCAAAGCTGTGATTTCTGTAATTGGTCTCTTGATGAGACGACCTGCTGTAAGTGATCTGCCAGCAGAGATCTTTTTTACTCCTGCTGCTCAACTTTCCATATTCAAAGGCTGCTGCTTTTGTTTCTGCCTCGTAATCAATTTCCTTAAACCAGCGCAAAAGACAATGACTTGGAGTTAAAGCAACTTAGCAATTTGCTTGAGCATTGGAGTTTCTCGCCCATCCAATGTGTAAATGTGTCTATTTTTTCAATCCATGGGCCATGTCTTCTTCCTGATTATGATATTAATGCATGTCCCTTTCACTCTGAGATCAGTCCTTCTCTGGCTCTCTTTCATACAAGCTTGGGGAGGAGAACCGACCCCTTTCCTGGTCTCTCTCTCTGTACAAAATCAATGGGCCAAAAGCATGACAAAGAACGCAGTGGCACTGCATGATAATGCTCTGCTTATGGTCCGAGTGACCGTGACCATTCAAGCCTCATTGTAAAAGCAACCTTTGAGTATATAGAAATTTGATTTGCCTTCTAGGGTCCCATTTAAACCCAAAAATGAAAAGAAAAAAAAAATTATTTAAAAAAAATATCACTGTGTGGGGTTTGGTATAAGTCTCTTTCAATATCTCTTGCTCTGTTACCCGTAAAAAAACAAAGTCCTCCCTCTTCTGTCGTCCTCAGCAGAATAACACCATCTTGAATTGCAAAGAAATGGACCCTTTAAGCCCCTCTGCCGGTCTGGCACTATCCTGTGAAATGTCCTTCTTCTCGTAACTGGAGAAGTGATTTGGCAATTTAATTACTTGAAAGAGGCCTTTTTCATCACTAATTCTACCCAAGACCCTTTTGATTTGGGAACTTGACAGCTAAGGCAGTGGTTAACTGGTTATAAATAGTTCAACTTAGACAATTTTAAACACACATTTGTCAGTCAAAAGCGCTTCCTACACTTATTAGTATAAAGTGAGTGGAAAAATATGATACATGGTGAAAATAGCAGCACTCGTTGCGTTTCATATTTGTTTTTCTTTTGGGATTAGATTAACCAGTACTTGAGACAATTACTAAACATAATTATCTTTTAGACTTTAGTGAGGCGCTTCTAATGGTAAAAAAGGAGGTCATATAGTGTTTGAAGTTTTTGTTGATAATTTGCTTGTGTACAGTTTGAAGATGATGTAGTTTAGTTACTTTATAGCTTTGGGGTTAAAAGGTGACAACTTTACTACAACGGTAATGAAACAGTGCACATTGGAGATTTGGTAATATTTGAACAAGTCGCCTTGACTGGTCTTTCAAAACCTACAGTACTTGACAGATACTCATCAACTCAAATTCATATTTGGAGGGACGCAACAATTTCACTGTTGTGAGTGCCTCACAAACTGAGAACAACTTTTGTGTAGGTAGACGCATTTTAAGTCAATCACATACTGTCACGTGAAATGACGGACGTTAACATATAATAGGGTACCAAATCAATTGCCTCTGAGATTTTGAGGCTTTTAAGCCTACATAGTGATCAAACCGTCACACCACCACTAGAAAGAAAGAGGCTGTATTGGCGAGAGGAGGTGACTGCTGTTGTTGCAATTTGCAAATAGAGCAGGAGGTAGATTTTGGTGGTACACTTTTTCACTAGGGTACTGGTGATGAATTTGACGTTTTTGGGAGGGTGATTTTATCAGAGATGAGCATAATGTGCTCTGACGATGACATCATGCATGGTGCAAACTGGTCCCATCCCAGCCTTGTGCTTCTTCCTTCTGGAGGAGGGAGGAGACATTGGCGATTGTGTTGTTACAATCAAAGTGTAAAAGTGACATGTCATCTATACACAGTGGCTGACTGGGTCATGACTCAGATGTATGCATGTGTTGTGTATTTATACTATTGCTATTGCGCAAGGAAACGTGTTCATCTACGTCGACGACAATATCATCTCATATTTGAATCAATTCTGCGATCATACTTCAATTTGATTTCTGACTTTTCTGAAGTGATCAAGAGGGATTGCTTTCTTAATTGGAAGATCGAAATTTCAAATTAGCAAGATTAACCTACACCATCATCCTCTAAAATAAGCAAATATTTTGAATTTCGATTAATACATACATTGACGTGTTACGGAATATAACAACTACAAATAATAAAAATAGTAAGGAACAGTGGAGTGTTGAAATGGAGAGAGTAAACATACGTCTCATTTACGTTCCTAAGCTTCGACACAAAACTTATATGGAAAATTATTCTACAAAAGAGGAAAAAATCAAAATCATTTTTATATCCGGAGTCGTTCTTCATGAACTTGAAATCAAGTCCGAAACATTTATAGAAAATAACCCATTAAAGCTAGGGAAAAAGGGAAAATTGTCTGCAACACGTCAAAGTATAATCGGTAAATATCAAAGAGGAATGGTTCGTTCCATGTAAGGAGAAGCCTTAGTAGTCTTGTGCAAGTAATTAGCAGTTATAATTATTGTGTTGGTGAATGCAACCAAAAGATTAGAACTTGCTGCTAAGTTCGATAAGCAATAGTGATGGTCGACAATAGAGGCTGTAGCCTACTTTTTAAGCAAAGAAAGTTTGGGCTACGTTATGGGTGAAAGAATTTTGGGCTTTTCTCCCAAGGATTTAAAACGCATCCAATTTTGGGCTATAGGCTTAGTTTGTTGTACATTGTGTTCCAAAAATTTATCAGATGGCTAATGTACGGAGATATTAATTTATCAGATGACAATTTCTTTTTTTATTTTATAGCACGTAAACTATTGAGACAAATATATAGAAAAATACACGCAATAAAGAAATTTTTTTAAAACAACTATTTAGAAAAATATAATTATCCGTCTAATAAGGAAAAAACTTTATCTTCTTTTCTCCCAAAAAACACTCTTAAAGCCGTTTTCACTTTGAGGAGAAAGCCATTGTTCTTCCTCCCCTCTTCTCTTCCTCCCTTCACCTCTTTCCCAATTTTCAGAGACAAATGGTTTATCTTATTTGTCTTTGTTTTGTTATGATTTTCATCCAACCATTACAAGTGGCTGCGAGATCTTGTGCGGTTTCTTTATGTTTGAAAAAAATTACAGAAACTCTTTGGATTCTCTGTTTAGTTTTCACATTTATTTGTGAGAGTTTTTCATCTCTCATTTGTGAGAGTTTTATTTGTACTGTTATGACTTGGTTTTTCAAGCCTGAACTCTTTTTTATTATTCTAAGTTTGCAATCTTGGTTGAGATGCCTATGCCAAAGTTTCTTCCATTCTGCATGATCGTTAGTTGAGGCACATTAGATTGTCTTAATTTTGATATTAGACCGTTTTGTTATTACAATAGTGTTTTTGTGGTTAGTTTGTATTGGTCTTTTGTGACCAATGACTTTTTTGACTGAATTATGAATGTAATAGTATAATTTCTCAATAAATTATATATATAAATGAAAAATATAATTTACACCTAAGTTTATAAAACTAGTACAATGAATACATATCTGATGTTACTTTAGTGCAACGTATTAAACTAGTACAACAAATAAATATTTGATGTTTTTTTTGGTCTGAAAAAGAAAGAATAAATATCTGATGTTACACCTTGGTGGTGCTCTTCCTTATCTTCTACCAGGTAAAAATGTGCCAAAAGATTCAATGGGCTGTGACGATGGACGACATGGACAGTTGAAAGCCCACGTACACAAATTTTCCTATCAGAAAAGCGACACCTGTCCACTCTGTCACCGCGTGTCATGGCTTGGAATAAAAAATAAATTCCCCAACAAAAATCGGACACAGTTGTGCTGGCTTCATCCACACCGCCTTTCACCGGCATACATATATATATATATATATTATATAGAAAGCGGTAGAAGTTTGAAGATGCAAAAGATGATTAATGCATTCAAAACATTCAGAACCCAATCACCAGCTTTGACCTTCTCGACGCCTCTGCCGCCGCCGCCAGGCTTGGGACGGAAAGCTTCCGGGGTCCGATTCAAACAGACCACAACCCTGCGCTCTAGCGAGTCCGATAGTGAGCACAACATGGACAAGCCAGAGCCTAACCCTACTGAGAAAACTAGGTAAGTGGCTTCATACCATGATTAATTATCCCATTTTCTTTAAAAGTAAGTTGGATGCGTATTTAATTTAGGTTGGCTAATGTTATTGGAATGTACAATATTTATATATTAGGGACAGTTTGTCACATTCATTTGGGGAGGGGTATGCGACGAGGTGCGATGACGATGGGTTTGGAGTGGTATATGGGGGAATCCGGTCAGTTCGAAAGACGGAGGAGGATGAGAACCACCCTGCTGTTGACAAGTCACAGGGAAGTGAGGTGCAGGAGAAGGAGAAAGCGCGACATCAGACATATGCTTCATCATAACTAAACTAATATATACGATACGAGAGTCGACTATATATATATATATATATACATATATGCGGTGCTTTTATGTAGATTTGTTCATTTTCGCTTTTGTATGTTTTTTTAATTTCTGCTAATCTGTTTTATGAAGCGAGGACGACAAGTCCTAGCTATATGTGAAATATTTCCACAGGTTCTAATCATGTGTATTAGAGAATATTTTTACATATATCATGTGTATTGGAGAAAGTTTTCGCATATTTAATGTGTATATAGCATGCACCAGTGAGCTCATGTAATCGGCATTTTGGGCTTCTGCTTTTGGCTATCTTGGTTTTTGGGCCTCTAGTAAGGAGTTGAAATTATCTTGGTAGGAGATGAAGTAGACTGACGTTAATAGCAATGGCGCCACTTGTGGCTGCCAATTCCACCACTACGTGTCATGACATGAAACTAAATTTCTCACTGAAATCAGGATCAATCCCCATGGAACTGGACACAATTTGGTGATTTGTAGCCTCTCACCTTTCACCGCCATATATTTACTGCCTCATCCTCAGTTATGTCGTGTGTTTTCATGTATAAATAGCAACCAGCAGAAATTCCTACAAGGTACTCAAAACATGATTCATGCAATAAGATCACTCAGAACCCAATCGAACTCAAACTTGGTCCAAAAAGCTTCCGGGGTCCGATTTAGGCAGAACGCAGCTATTTCTACCGATCCAGATACTAAACATAACATGGACAAGACACAAAACCCTAACCAGCAGAAAACTGGGTTAGTCTACACATTTCTTATTGTTATGTACATTACTCGGTGCATTGTCAATATTCAATCAGTATTTCCCACATCACACGAGAATATCAACAATATATCAAATATGGTATATAATCAAATGTTTATGATGATTGATGCGGATATTCGAATGATTGACTTGTTGTGCAAGTTTGATTTGTTGATTCATAATGAGGGATTAGTATTATTAATCTGGGTACATTTTGTTTGTTGTATATAAATTAGAGATGCGATGTCTCATTCATTTGGGGAAGGGTATGCGACGAGGTCTCATTCATTTGCAATTGAGGTGTTATTGCTTGCTTGCATGTTTATTTATTGTTGTCTATTTTTCTTACATGTACTAGATACATTTTGAAAGGGAAGGCTCATTATGCCCCCCTTGGATTTTTTTTAAAAAATTATAAATGAAATTTATTTGTACCGTAGAGTTTTTTTTTTTTATCATTTTAATAAATTTGTATGTAAAATAAATATAGTCCACACCAATTTAAAATCCTGGGTACGTCTCGAAAGGAGGATATGTGAGAAAGAAATTCAGAACTGTGTTGAGAAATGGATGGTTTATTTTCTTTTTCTTCTTCTTCCTCGCATTTTTATTTTAAATATCTTATGAGGACAATACTTACGTACAATCATTGGAATTTGGAGGCACCCCATCCCTCTGTGATTAAATATATATATATATATTTTGGTCTGAACCATGAGGTGGTCCTGGATGGCCCCAACTATAAGTGGCACCTTTAAGCCTTAACCGCAATCCAAACTAATCCCCGCTCACACCGGGTTGGCCCGTAAGGGGTAAAGTGCTGGCCAAAGTGGTGACTCCATACGAAAGTAGGAATCGAACCCCTGACTTCTCTTAAGAAATGAGAGTGCCGAACTACTCACATTAACCATCTTGGTTGTGATTAAATAATTTGCACTATGCACATATGTCCCCTTTTCCCCATATGGCAACCCGGTTCAAAATCATAGCCGTGCAATCCTAAGGAAACACCCGCTAATATATAATCCTCCCGATTTAAATTATTCCGAACCGGTAATATCGAGCTTGACCCGTTGCAAACGTCGAATAATCTTGAAGAAAAGATAACAAATTGGCGCGAGAGAAAACTAATTGTAGTAAAAAACTGGTAAGGTAGTAAATTCGCGCGAGAGAAACCTGATAAGGACGTGAATCTGATTCCCAGACAAAAACGGTAACGTGTTGTATAATAAATTCAAAAAAGGAAAGTGCTTACGAAAAACGCAAAGCTTTTCTTTTGTCTGTCTCCAGCGCATCAGAGACGTGTACAAGTGGACCACCGCCGAATCCACCAAACCATGCGATTTCGTATTAGCCGTCGATCTCAAAGATTAGAAATCAATCGCAACTGTACATCTGCTTTTATCCCTATTATAAAAGTACGTTAGGGTGTCTGGTTCTAAATCATTCTGCGCCTCAACGTTCTCTTTCTCTCTCCTCACGATTCTATGACTCCTCGGTTCTTCTTCTCCTGCAGATCTGCTCTGCATGGATCGTTTTCTCTCTCTGTTTCTTTCAAATTCGCGTAGATCGCTTCGTTGTCTACGTGTTGATGGTGGTTTTATGTTGTGAGGATGGTTTGAGCTGACGTTGAATAGCTGGTTTGACCAGCTCGAGCTTGTGTTCCGCGTTCTTCGATTCAGATTTACAGGTTCGTATATGTTTTTGATTTGATTTACGCATCCAGATCTGCAAGAAAGCTTCGGTGTTTATGCCTTCGTTTGAATTTTATAGATCTGGTACGATTTGAGTTTTTTGTGTTTCTGCTTCGCACAGTTTCTGATTCATGTATTTTCTTTTGTGTTCGAGCAGAGATGGCGACGGAGCTCTTATGGAATTTCAAGAGGTTTCAAGCCCAGACGGTTCTGAGCTGGATGCAGATCTGATGCTTATGGCTGCTGAAGCTGGTCCAACAGTTGTAATTGATATTCGATTCGATGGGCATATTTGTAATTTGAAAAGGGAAGCTGAAGTATTCGGGGGTTTGGGTGTGGTTGAATTCCGGATGTATAAGATATCGGGACGAAAGGCTCGGTGGAAGGGCTGAGTCCTGGACCGATCTTTGTCATCCGACCTTTGCCATGACAGGTGCGCTTGCATGGCAGGTCACAAAAATACCTCAATAAAAAAACAAACGATTTTTTGGTTTTGAGGGGAGACAGCATGGGGGTTTGCCCAGGGTCTCCCCTCTGGTGTGTGTGCGCTGTCTGTGTCCTCCTTTCTCTTTGTTCTCCGTTTTATTTTTTTGCTCTCTTCTCCATGCACACCAGTCGAGCACGGATTGTGGACATCATCAACGACGAAATCTCGCGCCCAAAGGTATTATCTGCCCGAGTCTATATTCTTTTAGTTGATATGCATCATGGTACCCAGATCTGCAAATTTCGCACCACATTCACACGAACACCTATCTAAACATGGTACTTAATCTGCAGCTACACGATTAATTAGTTTTATTTATCTTAATTAACAAGGGATTAAGCTTATTGGGTTATATTAAGCATAACTGGGGACTTGAGAATCGATATGGCTTAGTAATAATGTTTGTTTACAGTTTGCTAATTGTGGAGTTCTTCAAACTACCCCACTAATTTTGAAGGTAATCGGGTTCGAGTTTACATGGCTATATCGATGTTGGATACTAGTTACTTAGTATTAACAGCAAACAGGGTATTTTGATCCATCATAACCTCAAAAGTATACACCCGTATTTTTCTAAATCCAATACTAATATTTTTGGCAAGTTCCTTGCAATGTTATCCATTTATTATTCTATAATACTGTAAAACAGAAGTGGTCGTATGCGCGTCCAGATCCCAAATCCCTCATTCCTCATCCCACCATGCCACTCATTTAAAATACCTTGCTTCGTCACATATTCCCACCACCTTTGCAATATTTTTAATTACTTGTGTTACTACAGCTAATTACATGAGTTGAAATTAAATTTTATGGTGTGTCGTGAACTATTTTGAATAATTATTCATTATAATCTGGATTACAGTTTATGGTATGTTATTATTGGGATCTCAAAAGATATGGATCCACTGTAATATTCTGTAATTTATATCATTTGGCTCCTTTTTCGTTGAGCCGTGGATTGTATTCCCAGTAGTTTGTTCTTAGGAGTGAATGCTGGAAGCTTTCTTCGCTCTGGAGATTGCACAAGACTTGTACCGGATTGTAGCAGTGAGGTCGTGGGAAGGTCCAAGAAGTCTGTTGTATGCGCACTCTTTCTGGAGATTATAAGGTGAAAAATGACTGTACACCTGAAGGTTCAATTTCTTAGGTGTCTGGAAGTTATTCGAAGCCTTGATAAGCAGTGTCCTACATTTTATTTCGTCTTTTAAATTATTGAAGTTATATTACAATCAGCGTTTTCGATTATTTTACCGAATTTCATTACTTGGTTCTGTTGAATTTATATTATTATGATGGTCAAATAATGAATTTTACTTGTATTAATATAATGTATAATTCATTGAATCTCATTTGTGTTTATGGATTGTGCATATAGATGACTCTGATCATTGAAATGAAAAATTAGGGATCATGTAACTGTATGAAATAAAATGTGCAGTAGTTCTTGATTTTAACATTATTTTTGAAACTGTATGGAATTAATTGTGTAGGTTATGTGGGATTTTCTGTAGTGTTGTAGTATCGATCTTCTCATATTATTAAACTGTGGAATGTTCTGTTTTATATGAAAAAAACTGTATTCTTATATTGCTAATCAATATTAGACGCTTCCATGTTATAAGTCGATGGTCATTTGTGGTTTTTGAAGAATAGTTTATTCTTCCTAGTGTCTACGCTGCGATTTTCTAGAATGCTCTGTATTTTCTGAATTTGGTTTCTTAAAAATGTGTTCAAGTGTTGACGACATGAGAGAATGAAAACTCGGAGAACATGTGAAACAAATAAGAAACTCAGGTGGGATGTAAACCTGATTTCCACAATCAGCTTTTCTTGGTTGGGTTTTAGTGGAGCCATCGATGAGAGTAATTGTGGTCAAGGTCTGTAAGCTCAAAAATGGTAGAGCGCTCGGGTCCATAAATTGGGCTTTGGGAGGATGGTGGTTCGAATCCACCCAGATCTACAATAACTGTACACAATTTAAATAATTAAAACGTTACTTCTTATGGTCAATTTATGACTTGGTGTGCCATCATCGTTCATGTGTTGTCGCTTTTATGTTTTTCTTTAACCTCATATAGCGTCAGGCAACAGAAAAAGCCCAAGGCCGGCAGCGATGGCAAACAACTGGCGGTAAAGCAGAACAAGGACAAAGGCAGGCAGCCAAAGCTGAGAGACAAAACTACACAGCCAAAAGCGACCTAAGCAAGCAACAGTAGGCACCCATAATCTAATTACTATTATACAAATTTATAAATAAACCCCCTCCTAGACATATTTATAAATAAATCCAATTCTAGACATGTATTTATAAAAAAACCCAAGCACTATTTAAACATAGAAACACACCCAAAATCAACCCAAAAGTCAACTTTTTGGGTGTGTTTATAAATGGGTTTTGAGTGTGTGTAATGATGGGTTTTGGGTGTGTTTATATGTTTAAATAGTGCTTGGGTTTTTTTATAATTTCAACCCCCATTTTGGGTGTTTTAGTGAAACTCCCAAACTTAGTATGATTTTGTTGTTTTTTTTTTTATGTATCTAAATCTAAAGGTTGTGACCTATGAAATTTGATGTTAATGCGTGCAACTAGACCAAGCATGCCCTATATGAATACTAGTTATATGGCCTTATGTCGGTTACCGATTTGTTAAAGGAATAAAGAAGAGGTTTGGGCCTAAAACTCCAGCCCAATTCTCGTTTTTCCGGGCCGTAGTCTCTTTATCTTTTATCTTAGGTCCGGCCCGGTTAAAATTATTCAAAGACTGTAATTTCGGGCTTGGGCTGTTCCAAATTCCGAAAAATCTAGAAGGAAATATAGTAATTGGCGCGAGAGAAACCTAATTATAGTTGAAAAAAGCTTATGACCCAGCTGTCAAGGCGGCAAAATTAACGTGTCGTGGTTGATACGGTCAAAAACAGTAACGTGGAAAATTATACCACCGCCTCTACCCACCCACCCACGTTATAAGATATCAGCCGTCGATCTTAAAGATAAGGGCGCAATCGCAGCCGTCCATCGCATTTATCCCATTATAAAAGTAGGTTTAGGTTTGGTTGGTTCCAAACCATTCAACGCCTCAACGTTTTCTCTCTCCTCTCTCTTCACGTCTCTATGCGCCTCCATGGTTCCTCTCCTGCAGATCTGTTCTGCAAGGATTCTTTTCTCTTCCATTACGTCTCGAATTCGCTTAGGTCTTTTCGAGATCTACGTTTTCATGGTGATTTGAGGGCTGTGAAGATGTTTTGAGCTGCTGGTTCATAGCTGGTTTTATCAGCTCGAGCTCGTCTTCTTCGTGCTTTGGCTCAGATTTACAGGTTCGTCTATGTTTTCTATTCGTTTAACTTATCTAGATTTCTAAGAAGGCTATACTGTTTATGCTTTCGTATAAATTTGTTAGATCTGCTAGAATTCAGCTTAACAGTTTCTGGTTCATGCAGGTTCTGATTGATGATGTTGGAGTTCATAGCAAGTCCTCGGAGGTTCCAAGACTTGACCGTTTTGAGCCAAATCCGACGTCGTTTCAGCTGCAGATCTGGTTCTTCTGGAGTCTAGCGTATGTTTATTCGATATTCGAATTGAATAATTGTAATTTGATGATCGGGAAGCTGAAAGCTGGGGTGTTTAGGGATGGTTGGGTTGTGCAACGGATGTATAAGATGTCGGGACGAAAGGATCAGAGGAAGGGTCTGTGTCCTGGACCGATCTTTGTCATCCGACCTTTGCCATGACAGGTGCGCTTGCATGGCAGGTCACAAAAATACCTTAATAAAAAAACAGAAACGATTTTTTGGTGTGGAGGGGAGATTGCATGGGGTTTTGCCCAGGGTCTCTCCCTCTGTTGTGTGGTGTGTGCTCTGTGTCGTCCTCTCTTTACTCTGTTTTATTTTTTGTTCTCCTGCTCATCCAAGCATGCTAGATCGTGGACCGCAACGACGACAAAATCTCAGCCGCCCAAGGTATCATCTGCCCGATTCTATTTCAATTGATATGCATCCATCTAATTCTAGTACTGAAATCTGCCACTTGCACAGCCAACTCACGATCATTATTTAAACTGACATTAATCTAATTTGATCATGACTAATTCACAACCCTCATGTACAATTAATTAGTCTTATGCTTTGAATTGATATTGGATTAAGCCTTGTTTATTATTATGTATAATCCGATATATTTGGTAACCTAAAATTTATTATAGAGAGTAATGTTTTCTAGATAAATGGGTTTCAAGTTTCTGTAACCATAGAAAAAACAAAATATTTTGTAATTATGAAGCATATGAATATGCGGAATTTTGAAACAGAAATTTGAACTGGACATAGTCTTTTGAATTGTTTGGTAATTTGGCTAATCATAATATTTGGGGGAAGTTTCAATTTGTTTTCAGTAATCCATTTTTATGTGCTATCATGTGCTGTAAAACAAGGTCCTATGCGCGCCCAAATCTCACAGCCCCACCATTCAATTATTCAATTCATCATGCAATACTTCGCAATCCATACTTACAAGGCCAAATGCCAATACATGTGCACCAATTCTTGTCTTTATTTTACTACAGTTCTTGTATGAGCTGAAATGAGATTTTGTGGTGGTTGAGTTTTCGTATTTATAATTTTGTGGGTATGCACTTCTGAAATTGTGGTATATTCTGGGATCTCAAGATTTATGGATCCTTTGTAATATTGTGTAATTATATTTGCTTTTGGCCGATATTGCCTCTAGCAATGGATTGTATTATAGATGGTTTGTAGGAGTTTGGCTGCTGGAAGCAATTTCCTCAATGAAGCCTGAATGTTTCTACTCGTTTATAAACCAATCAAGACTCTTCTCAGTTACAAGCTGTTGGGTCGCTGGAAAGTTCAAGTTATGTTAGTCTTCTATCTCTTTCTGGAAATCTTGAGGTGAAAAATGAATTCAGTTGAGCTTCGCATTGCCTTTGATTTTTAAGTTATTACCATTATTCAGCAGTACTTTATATAGTTTTGTTCTTAATTAATCGAGTTATTTCAAGGATTGTTTCATATGTTTATATTTGTTCGTGTCAGTATTTTTCTGTCCATGGACCTTTTATCTTTTGTTCAATTGAATTAGATGAATTATTTACACGTCCTTGATTGTAGTAGATATTTATTCATCATCTATTTTATTGGTTATTTTATTTAGATATTATTTTTGTATGCTGTTTTGTTTCATGTGCTTGTTTAATTGTTAAAGATGGATGCAATCAGAATTAAGTGTGTAGAAGGTGGGTGGGTGGGGTTCTCTTGGTGAAGGTTGAAGAGAGGAGGTTGGGATGGAAGATGAGTTGAATGTACGAGTAGTCTAGTGTTTTGGGTTGGGTTATCTTACGTTCATTTATTTGAGTCGCTAAATAAATTTGGTATTGTTTCAATAACCAGCAATAGTTTTTCATAATACTTGTGCGAATATATGCTATAATTCTGGTGTCACGACGTCCGAAAAAGCAGTTGTGTGATATTTCTGTGCTGTTTGTAAAGCGAGACCAGCGAATTTATCGTCAAATTGAATCTTGCACCGGTTCGAAACATTTTATTAGTGGGAAAATCTCTTTCTGGAATTTTCTTCTTGGTCTCTTATTTCTCCGAAATTGGTTTGGGAAAGTTTGGGGAAATTTTGTGATCAAGTAGATCGTTGGGAAGATGATACTAAACCGGTTTTTAATCTAGTTTCGGCAAGCATTGTTGTTTAAAACCCCAATTATATTTTGGCGCGTTCTCCGGTAAGTGTACCTGTTGTGGATTGGTTATGTATTTGATATTTGGTTCTATACTCTTGAATTGCATCAAAGGGACTATTAACCCATTTAATGAATGCAATTTAACATTCAAGATTAAAAGTATGTAATTAATTCTAAACGAAAAATACTTACTATTGGAGAGTAGGATTTGCTCTCAAGATGTGTCGGGAGAGTTGTTTACGGCTGTTGAATTTATCTGTCTAGTTTAAGGCCGGCTCGTTGGAAGTCACGTGAAATCAAAAGATCTGTAGCTCAAAAATGGTAGAGCGCTCAAAGTCCTTATTGGGCTTTTGAGAGGTTGGTGGTTCAAATCCACCCAGATCTGCCATCTTTTGTTTGTGCGGTTAGTTTGGCGGGCTCGGTTTCCCTCTTTTTAATTTTTTGTCTTTTATATCTTCATCAAATTTTGTACTCTCTATGTTTTCGGTCTGAAATTTTATTGTCATCTTGCCCCACCTATTTCGATGAGATGTTACCGACTGTTTCAGTTGGGCTCTTGTTGTGCGTGGGTTTTGCGGGATGTTCTCTCTTACTAGGAAAGCTTGATGTATGAATTCAAAGCATTTTAGCTGCCAATAAAGACTTTAATATTTCTCATCTTCTCCTGGTTATCTTCTTATACAACGTCGTGCCGGTAATTAAGGAGCTGGTTTATGTAATGAACTTCGTTTATCAGGTACCGGATTGAATTATGTAATTCAAGTCCCGTTTCGGTTTCCGGTCATTTTGTAACTCACTTTGATGGGCCTGTAATTTGTAGCTTGCTTGCTTGATTCATTTGCAAGTGCATCCTTTTAAGTGAATCATAGGCTTTTCCATTAAAAACTTGCCTCTAATTTTCTGCCTAGTGCTTGCTACTTGGTGCTTGTTCTAAACTTCATATTTTGCGCACCGGTTGTCCCCCTCCAAGGCTATACCTTTCTTGTTCCTTTATTTGTGCAGATCTGTAACTGTAAGCTGAGGTAGGAGGAAGAGAGCCAGATCCCTATACCCAATTGTGGCTTTTGGAGGTGGTTGGTCATTGAATTTTATGCACTTCTTTTAGACAGTATAAGATTTCATATCAATGATTTCTCTGATATTCAATGCCCATTTGCCGAAGACCACAGACTACAAAATCATGCAGGATGTGGGTCACAACACAAACAGTAATCTCAACTGCACCATCAAAAGTGTAAGCTAAAACTTAAGTAAATTTAGGTTTTAGCTATAAAAAAACTTTCACTTTTGGAAAAAACCAAAGCTTTTTCAAAACATACAGAAAAACTTCTCAACTTTCAAATCAAAGACATGCAAATGTAAATGATTCTTTAAGAAATCCAAAAATAAATAAGGCAGTCTACATATCTATCTACACACCCAGCTCATTCTTATTATTTTATGTTCTTTAACCGGCCTGGGATCTTGGTACTTCTAACTTATAATCATGCATGCATGTTTCATCCACTTCAAGATGGTTCTTGATTTGCATATAGATTCAATTTGGTTATAAGCTTTTAGTGATCTCTATATATAACATTTCATAGTTAACGCGATCTCGGATTTCTCTACTCATTGCCGATTGATTTTGAGTTGAATGCTCTCATTCAAACTATGATTTCGGGTTGAATACTCATTCAAACCAAGACATAATCATTTTTCATTGCACCCGAAGTCAACCATATATGTTGACATAAGAACAAGAATTAGAAAAATGAACCCTCGTCAAAGAAAATGAAGATAAAAACAGAAAAGTCAATTGTACAGTCATTTTCACAATTTCATCATCTGGATCAAAACCCAAATTACATGCCAAGTATGCCTTCCTATGGCCAAGGCTTGGGTGGTGGTTGTAACAAAATCGAAACGTATACAATTTTGGACCTCATGAGCCAAGTATCACTATCAATATCATGGCCTCCCCTTATAAATTGGCACCTAAAAAAGGTTTCTCATTTGCTTCTGATATTGACTCATACCCTAAACCGTCTGGCGTTTTGCTTGTCAACTTTAATGCGCGGATCAAACTTATAGCCCCACAGAAATATGATGAACCACCTATTGACAATCCAAGCTTCTAGTCGCTTTCTTTTCCTTACTTTTCACTCAAGCCATTTGGTCATGGAAATATTCGCAAGTATTTTCAAGTTGCCAGATCCCAAGTCCTAACAAACAAACAACCAAGAGGTTCCAGCTACTCAATGCTACATTCAACAGAGGTTGGCCCTTATATAATCTTTTTTATTTCTTTTTATACCAGCAATATTGGAGGAATCGAACTGAGGACTTAGGAGGATGCATGGGGCTCTTAACCACTCGTCCCTTTACACACACTATTAATGTGTCATGGAGGTTCAAACTTGAGACCACTGTTTTGCAATTCAAGATCCTTTTTCATTGGGTTAGACTTCATTTGCGCATAATCTTTTTTATTTTATATGATAAAGTAAGGTAATACTTTTAAGAGATATTTAGTAATATACCCATTCTTAGCACTAATTAATTTCTATAAACAAACACAAAAAATGACAATTGGCCCCATTGAATTTAATTTTGATTTTAAATTACTTTGATGCTCTATTTTTAATGAGGTTTTGGAGTTGAGCTTATTTTAAGAAATTGATGACAATTTTATAATTTATAAGAAGTTAAAAGCCTATTTGTTATGTTGTAAATTAGGCTTTATGTGTGTTTTTAAAATCCATTTCATATGAGGGTTTTTTTATTATAATTTGGGCCTTATATTGGGTATAACAGTGAATCTCCCTCTTTTTAACAACCATACATATAGAAAAATGAGAAAACCAAACACAAAGTTGTGTGATTAATTAAGTCCAAAGCCTTAATAATTGTGCAAATTGGTCCTACATGATTGATTAGTGTGATCCATGCGTTAATAAACAAACAAGGATAAGTAGAGAGGTGCCCACGAATTTTGCCGAATTAATTAATCATGCAATTACTTGTAGTCAACTCTATAAAAAAAAGTGCAATCTTTCATAGGATACGAACACATGGCACACCTCCCAGACCTAGAGGACAACACATCTTGAAGCAAATACTAAAATTAGGTAGAATTTTGCCTCTGAATGGGAATTCAAATATTAAAGCTTTTCCCTCCTCTATAGACGGCGATCTATCCAATAGGAAAAAGAAAGAATAATTATTACATGTTAAGATTTCTAGAAACATTTGAAATATATGTAAAAAAAAATATGTAAGGGCAAGGGAACTACTTTTAAAATAAAGTGGGATGGGTCTTCCCACCGAAAACCCCTATTTCTTGGCAGGCGGGGCCAGTCAATAACGCAAATTCTGCTCCCAATGCCAATGCCAATAAATAATTCGTAGAAAGATTATGGAAATAATGATATTTGATAAAAAATAAAGGTTGTGAAAATTATCATGGTAATACAATCACATGAGAATCAAAAGTTAATATAGGGCATGCTCACCACCTTAGTTTAAGACGTATGCTCACCATTTACTTACGTATCAATCACATGTAGAACAAAATAAGCATGATAAAATTGTGAAATTAAAATTATTTATTCTAATATGATTTCGTTTTATTATGGAAATACCGCATGATATACTCTTTGGTGAAAGAAACGTAAATAGAGGGCGAAAATTCTTTTTTGTTTTATCAAAATTCAGATGTAAAGAAGTAAATACAGTCCTAATCAACTGACCTAACTCATCATATCTACAGATAATTATTATTTTTGTTATATTAGTAAAACACCTCACTCTCCAGATCTTGTATAAACATTTTTTTGGGAAACAAGATCTTGTTCAACTATTACATGGAAAACGTTCACACAAAAATAAAAATATAATAAGAAATTAATATTAAAAAAACAGGGAAAACATAGAGGGAAATAGAAATGAGAAATGAATGGGAAGCGGGCCAAGGGGAGGTACAAAGAAACCACACTTTGGTAAAGTCAGTCGCAGTCTTTGAAGGACTTGGAGCCAACTTTGGTGGCCTCACACACACAGGACACAGCAAACACCAATTCCCAGTCATCAAGTCCTTCCCTTTTTTAACACTATAAATGCACAGACAACTAGAGATGGCCAACTCCTGCAATTCTCCTTCTCTCCTTCACATTGTTCTTGTCCTGGTAAATAAAACCCACTAAATGACACCCTCATAAAGGTCAAGAATCTACATCAAACCAATAACACAGACTCTCTCTCTCTCTCTCCCTTCTTTCTCTGTCTCTGTCTCCGTAACATTTTTAATTGCCGTAAAAGGCTAGGCACAAAGCTACCTACGCTTGACCAAGAGCTGATTCATTTCATTCTCT